GACAGCACCGTATACGACGTCTACTACTGCAGAGCCTTGGATGACGACAGAGCCAACTTCAACAACTGAACCACTGAGTTCAACGACAGCACCGTATACGACGTCTACTACTGCAGAGCCTTGGATGACGACAGAGCCAACTTCAACAACTGAACCACTGAGTTCAACGACAGCACCGTATACGACGTCTACTACTGCAGAGCCTTGGATGACGACAGAGCCAACGTCAACAACTGAACCACTGCCCGTTCAACGATAACAGCGTATACGACGTCTACTACTGCAGAGCCTTGGATGACGACAGAGCCAACGTCAACAACTGAACCACTGAGTTCAACGACAGCAGCGTATACGACGTCTACTACTGCAGAGCCTTGGATGACGACAGAGCCCACGTCAACAACTGAACCACTGCCTTCAACGACAGCACCGTATACGACGTCTACTGCTGCAGAGCCTTGGATGACGACAGAGCCAACGTCAACAACTGAACCACTGCCGTTCAACGACAGCAGCGTATACGACGTCTACTACTGCAGAGCCTTGGATGACGACAGAGCCAACTTCAACAACTGAACCACTGAGTTCAACGACAGCACCGTATACGACGTCTACTACTGCAGAGCGCACAAATAAAGAAAAGATAAAAAGCAGAGCAACGTAACAACTGCAACCGACTGAGTTCAACAACAGCACCGTATACGACGTCTACTACTGCAGAGCCTTGGATGACGACAGAGCCAACGTCAACAACTGAACCACTGAGTTCAACGACAGCAGCGTATACGACGTCTACTACTGCAGAGCCTTGGATGACGACAGAGCCAACGTCAACAACTGAACCACTGCCTTCAACGACAACAGCGTATACGACGTCTACTACTGCAGAGCCTTGGATGACGACAGAGCCAACGTCAACAACTGAACCACTGAGTTCAACGACAGCAGCGTATACGACGTCTACTACTGCAGAGCCTTGGATGACGACAGAGCCAACGTCAACAACTGAACCACTGAGTTCAACGACAGCAGCGTATACGACGTCTACTACTGCAGAGCCTTGGATGACGACAGAGCCAACGTCAACAACTGAACCACTGCCTTCAACGACAACAGCGTATACGACGTCTACTACTGCAGAGCCTTGGATGACGACAGAGCCAACGTCAACAACTGAACCACTGAGTTCAACGACAGCAGCGTATACGACGTCTACTACTGCAGAGCCTTGGATGACGACAGAGCCAACGTCAACAACTGAACCACTGCCTTCAACGACAACAGCGTATACGACGTCTACTACTGCAGAGCCTTGGATGACGACAGAGCCAACGTCAACAACTGAACCACTGAGTTCAACGACAGCAGCGTATACGACGTCTACTACTGCAGAGCCTTGGATGACGACAGAGCCAACGTCAACAACTGAACCACTGAGTTCAACGACAGCAGCGTATACGACGTCTACTACTGCAGAGCCTTGGATGACGACAGAGCCAACGTCAACAACTGAACCACTGAGTTCAACGACAGCAGCGTATACGACGTCTACTACTGCAGAGCCTTGGATGACGACAGAGCCAACGTCAAACAAATCGTACTGAACGAAACGACAACAGAATCGCGTATCCAACCTCTGCTACTGCAGAGCCTTGGATGACGACAGAACCAACGTCAACAACTGAACCACTGCCTTCAACG